GTGTCATCAGGAGATTTCTTAATTAAATCCACAGGAAAATGTACCAAGAAATATTTGAGTTCAAACATTACCTCTACTGCAAACAAGTTGAAATTATTTTAAAGTTAATACAGATATAGAGCCCTTTATCCTTCAGTTTTTGTTTTGTTTTTTTTTGGCAAATTTCCGTTTCCTTCCGAGAAATTAGAATTTGGATAGACTATCCATTATTTTATACTTTTTTTTGGGGGGGGGGGCATCAATGTGCAAGTGTTATTAATGCTCTGAAAGTTCTAGCCCAAGTGAGTGCAGACTAAGTTTTGTATGACAGTAAGATCTTTCTGGAATAAAATGTTTAAAATTCTCCTATACTGGTACTGATTTTTAGTTAAAATAAAAAATGAGGTAAAATTATTTTTAAAATGTGTTTATGGAGTCTATTTACCTATTAGATAATGCAGTTTGCAAATTTTTCTTTCTAAAGTCTTGTTGTTCACTTACACTTAAGTTATTGTAATTCACATTATCCCATAGTATACTTCATATTATGGTTTTGCCTCACAGAATTTCTTTTTATTAATGCTTCACACCCCTGTAAAACTAATGGTTGATGTAGTGTAGTGTGATCAGGGAGAGTAACTAACTTGCATATTACAGTGTAATTTTTGGGGGGACTGAAATAACCAGCAAATATGATCAGAGGAAATAGTAAAACTTGCAGGAACCTGGGAAGAGAGACCTAGCTACAGAAGTAACTGGTTTTAGTGCCATCAAAGTTTCAAAATAATAAGCTTAAAATATTTTAAGCCACTTTACTGTTCTTTTGTTACATAAGAAATATTCTCACAAATTGTGTAGCTTTTCTCATTTGGGAAAAAAAAAGTACACAGTTAGTATTATTAGTGTTATTAATATTTGGACTGTGATGTCTAACAAAATTTAAATTTCTGTTATTTTTATAAGAGGATCCACAGAAGTATTTCATTTTCATGAAATAGGGAATGGTGACATAGCTGTTTTTGGCAATGTGTATTTGAGAAGTGATTGCATAATATCAAAATTAGTGTTTAGTAAAACATAGAATATATATATAACAAAAAGCATGGCTTAACCAATGATTGCTTACAGTTTTCATTGCAGACTTTTCCTTCAGTGTACGTATCTTATGCAACTTGCATAAAATGGCTAGCTATGTGAAGTAAGATGTGAATGACACAGCTACAAAACTATTATTTATTTAACTTGAAAACACTGACTATTTTGCTAAACATTGTTGTATTAACTGCAAAAATGAGAAATAAAAATATTCCTACAATAAAAAACCTTGCTGCATATTAATTCATTTAGGAAATTGTCTTAATGAAGTCTTGAGTCTGTATTATATTGACATTGAACAGAAAGTATGCCATTTTTTAAGCATCATGTTTTACATAATTAGTGGTATTAAGTTGAAATTTTGAGTCGTACATTCATTTTTAAAATGTTGATATATCTGAATTTTTTGGAGGGGCTTTATTGATTGCTTTCAAGAGTAGTATTTGGGATTTGAAATATTTTGTGTGAAGCCAGCTTCTGCATGATGCATGGTGGTGACATAAAACAGAATTGTTCAGAATGCTCCAGGTCAGTAACTTCATAAATTAGTTTTGCAATTGGAGTCCTTTGAATACTAAAATTAGACACACTACTAAATCAGGATACTAATGTTTAGTATCTTGAACACAAAATGTGGAAAAATTCTATTTTGTGTATAAGCACTCTGTTAACCATAATTGGCAATGTCTATACAAAGTTAAGCTTAGAACCAACCACTGGAAGATTAAACAGATGGAAGAACTGAATCCGGAAAATGTTGAGAAGAGTGGTACAGAGAGACCAGCATGTGGAAAACAAAACACGTGATGAAAAGTAGAGAGAGAGAGGTGACATTGAAAGCCCATGTTTTGGTAGCAACACAAAAAGCAAAAGAAAGTGAGCAGATTGTAAAGAAGGCAAAGCTGGTTGGATAAAAGTAATAGAAAACAAATAATGCCTGTGGCACAGAAATAAGGGGAAGATTTTCAAAAGCTTGACTTTCTCTTTTTTGCAACATCAAACCAGTTTTTTCCTGAAAACAAATTTTGCAACTTATACACTGGACATGGGAAAAGTGCCAAAGTGTATACTTCTTGAGTTGATTATTTTTGAAAAAAATCTCATGAACTGGATAATTTCACTCAAGGAGTGTTTAAAAGTCAGATATTTTTTTCAGGTGGAGAGCTAGAGGAACTTTTTATTTCTTCGAGGCACTACTGTGACTTACTGGAGTTTTAATATGTGAAGTGTATAATAAATAATGCCTGAACATTGTTTAAAAATCAAGAATTAATTTATGTTATTAAGTAATTTAGTTCTTTCATGTATTATTCCCTCTGTCAAACATAGCATAATTTTCAGTGAGTTTTGACAAAAAAGTTATGTGTAATTGCTCATATTTGTATTGGTTCAATCAGAGGTGCTTATGAATGTAAAACTTCTAACTCACCAAACAATAATTAGATGTAATTGAAATATTACATTTCAAGAAATACTCATTGTTTTTACACACACATGTAAAGCTCACTGCTCTAAAGCAATGCTTCCCAAACTTTTTCTATGTCCGTATGGCAGGCCTAGTGGCACCCTACCTGACTAGGACAGGCAGAAATTACTGTTATACTGTGTATGAAGAAGAAAATTGATAAAATGTGAAATTTTAAAAATGTATTAAATCAATAATAAATTTACATAACTAAATAAAAATTACTTAATAATTGCAAAAATTCTACGGCACACCCGAGACCCTTCCACGGCACACAGCGTGGGAAGCACTGCTCTAAAGCATTCAGTTTAAGCATGTTTTTTCTTATTCAAGTTTAGTATAACTATAGCTTGTATCTTTATTTATTTTGTTTTCTAATTTGAAATTGTTGCATGTAATTGGTTAATTTATACTTGTGAATAATGCAATCAGGAAAATGATGAGAAAAACTGTTAAATTATTTTAATAGTGCAGTAAATTTTTTTATAACACGTATGGAAAGAAAAGGAAGGCATTTTATCATAACTTATTTTGAATTTTATACACATTATGTTTTTAATTCTTTTAAACTAGAGCCACTAGTGTAATGAAGCTCATTTGTGAGTGGTACTCGTGATAAAGTATAGAAAGCCAGATTGTTGGTCTGATAGAATAAATTTGAAACCTACCTGGATTGCAGATTGTTTTACTTGTGCAGAAAATTAAATGTGCACTATTCTCCAGTGACCATTGCATAACTTAAAATATTTTTAAGTAGATGAAGGTTTAATATAGTTTTTTGGAATGACCTTTCAGAATGAATCAGACTAGAAAATTGACTTCTTTTTATTTTGTAGTAGTTGGTGGTGGTCAAACTAGTTATTAATGAAAGTTTGGAGGTGTGGTGAATGTGTTTTTTCTTATTTTATTTTTTAAAACAGAAAGTTACTTTTATTTCTCTTTTTGCAGTTTTTGCAGGTAACTTTTTTTAGCTCTTAGCCAAATAATCAAAACTATAACTTTATAAGCTAAACAAAAATTTTTTCAGAGTTCTAACTGTAGAAACACAAACTTCAATATTATTAATTGATAGTTAATTTAACTACTAACCAACTGCGTTAAGTTCTAGTAAATAAGTTACTTTTATCATGATGAAACGTGTCTTAAAAAGTGATTTTTTTGCTGTAACTAATATTTGTAGCAATCAGCTATGGTAGTAAGCTGAAAATGATTCAACTTTTTATTGTTACGAGCATCTACAAGCAGATACTTGTAGGATAGTTACTGAAACTGCATTGTGATCAGACATGCGATAATATGTCGGGAACCTATAGGGATTAAGCAAAGACCATTAGTAGTTCATAAAGGCTGCAGAAAGCGACATTCCCATTATTAATAGCTAATAGCTTAAGAGAAAGAGGTGTCAAGTTTTCAACTTCATGAGATACGAAGTCATAGACACTTGGTGATATTCCTCCAAGGTTCTTTATTGAGTGGCATTTTGTCTTAAATCTTTGGTTACATCATTAAGAGAAAAAAGAAAAACTGTCATAGTCAGTTTCATAGAGGAAGAATCTTTAATGCTTTGCTGCTAAAGTTGTGTCTTAATAAGAGCATCCAAGAAAGTTTAATGAGCAAATGTATCACTAGGAGGAAGGCTAGCATACAGGATAGGTGTTTAAAAATTCAAAAATGATTAATATTTTAACCTTTTGTATTTTGTTCACGATGAAAAAGTGTGGAAACAATTAGATATTTTTATTTTTAAATTTTCCATTGAAAACTGTCATCCCTAGAGTAAAAGTTTCTGTACTCTCTTGAGTATACCCAATTTCTTCCAAGATGATCTGGATTTCTCTCTCTAAACATATATTTAGTTGTAGCTGAGTCCCACACCACCCAATTTATTTCTTCTTTTAAAAGATTGAAATTGGAAAACCAATTTCAAGAACTTGTTATACTCACTCCTACCATAACTCTTGTCTATTTCTAACTAGTCCACTACAGATTTTTCACTTAACCATGTTTCTTTAAGGGATAAATGCAAAGAGAAAATTGTTAAACATATAGCTCATGGCATACGTCATTCATTCGTGATACAAATTATTAACTTGTTATACATAAAAAAGAAACTCGCAGACTGAGTTAAACCATGTTAAAATATAAGGTTTTATTAATCACAAGCTTTTCAGCTCATTATAAAAATAAAAAGTAACTGTTGTAATACAACCTGATGAAGAGCTCTTTAAAAAACTGGAAATCTTCTTCTTTTTTTTTACCTACTGGATCTATGTCAGTGTCAAACTGTCCACAGATATACATCAGATAATATATCAGATTTATGTTCTTGTAAGTTTGTGTGTTTATTCCAAGTAGGATTTTTTTATTCTGATCACATTTTGTTTGACAGTTTATTATTGTTTTATCTTATGTAATTCATGGTATTATGATTGACTTGAATATGTTATAACTTTATTTCCAGCTTACCATGGTAAAAGTGCAGGAGTGCCAAATGTATAATAACTGTCGCACGTGTCTTGGTGCCCAGGATCCATATTGTGGCTGGTGCTCCTTAGAAAACAAGTGGGTTTGCATTTTGTTTCTGAGTGTTCTTTTTATTGAACGATAAGTTTTACACTTACTTGTTCAAACAGCCATAATCTTGAAACTCAGAGATCAAATTTATTAATTGGCAACTTGAATGGCAGACAAGTAATAAATCTGTTCTCCTTTTTCTATTCTTCAAAACTTTTAATTTGCCTCTTAATTTTTTTTTCATTTGCTTTTTTTTTAAATGATGCAATGTGCTAATATATAATCTTTGTTTTGTTTCTCTGTTTAATTTTGAAAAGTGAGTAACAAAATCGGTGATCATTTGGTTTATAGACAACTTACAATTTCCTTATTAGAAATACAGTGTTTTATTGATGTTCAATTAGTGTTGTTTAAATGCTATTAAAATTAATCAATATTAATGTTTCTTAAATGTACCTCCAGATGTAGCTTACGGAGTGACTGTGCTCAAGCTGCCGAAGATCCTCTCTATTGGCTGTCCTACAAAAGTGGCAAATGCACAACTATAACCAATGTTAATCCCCCTCAGATACAACGCACAACTGCTCGTATAGTATGTAAACCTTATTAACACATTATAGTAATTCAAGTCTTCTAATTGATGGTACATTTAAGGTAATGGTGACATAAAGATAATGGGCTTTGACTTATCTGTCTGTTAAGCAACATAAAAGTTCATAGTCTTTTCTTTCTCCAAAAATTCCACTTTTCACTAAGGGATAAGAGACTTGTTTACCCATAATTCCAGAATTAGAACTTCAAATACAATAATAAAAAAACTTTTTTTTATTATTATCGTTATCCAATATTTTTAATGCATAACTCATCTGTTGTTTTTCATTTCAAAAATTATGTGAATGTGGTACTTCATGAATATTTGCAATATAAATTATGTATTTATAGTATTTATGATGTCATTTATTTCTACTTTATTAAATATGAATGTATTTAGATTCAGGCTAATAATATCAAGTATTTTATGTAGCAGCTAGAAGAGCCAAGTGACTTGCTATCTTAAGACAGAAATTTTTAATTTTATACATATATTATGACTAGAGTAGTTTAGAAATATTATGAATAAGATTCACAACATATTGTGAAGAATACTTTCTGAAAAAAAAAACATTATCCACTGATTTGAAAATGTAGCAAGTCAACTGAGATAATTATTAATGATTTAGGCCTTTTCAATTTTAGAAATAACCTGTCTTTTTTTTACTGTATGTAATTTAACTAACTTTTATTTTGCTGTAAATTCTACATATATTTGTGAATGAACAAAATGTGCACTTCTTTCATAAAAAAAAAATTAAAACTATAAACCATACCTAAGTTTGAATGATTTTTTTTGTCATACCATTTCTACCAATTATCTAAAATTCATCTAAAAAAGAGCATAAAAATTATTTCCAGATTATAAATCACATCTTCAGTTCTGTGTTATTTATATTCAATATTATATTAATTTGTTTTACTCAAAAGACACAAGAAGTAGGCTACATAAAATGAATTTAATGGATAACTAATTTCAATAATTTATGATAAATGATAACTGTTAAATATAATGAAAATTGAATATAATATTTCAAGTTCTTCACCTATAAATTATGCATGTTAGAATCAAGTTACTCAGAATTTAATGTGAAACTTTGGAAAACCCTAGGTAGTTGTTTCAAACATACAGTACATTAAGGAAAATGTTGATAATGTGAACAAAATTAAAGTTTTAACTTCAGAGCATTTGGAACCCTTTTCATTTGATTTTATGATATAAGAAACTTTTGTACCTGACACTGCATAGGAAATAATTTTATTAAACAGAACTGTTAAGACTTTTTTTTTTCTTGCACAAGTCTTTAATATATCATAAATAAAAAAAAATAAATGTTCATTATTTTTTTTCTAGTAGTTCTGGATGACTGAGTAGGTCAAGAAAGAACAATGAAGATGTTATTCCAGCAGTTTATTGCTTAAAAGAATAACTAAATTTAATTTAGAGAAATTTAAAGAATTTATTGCTCTGAAGTTTGTTTTAATATGCCACTTTTTTGCTGATGTTTTTAAGTTACCTTATATTTTGTTTAATCCTAACTTTCTAGATTCAATAGAACTACTTCATATAATTGGTATAGTTTTTTTTATTACATAATTTTCCAGTTTGTATTTTTCTTTTTATGACAGACACAAGTGCTTAATTTTATGTGGATATATATATATCATTAAATTAGAATAGTTAGCCAGATACTTGGTTTACTACAGTTCTTCAGTGTTTTGGCTACTTATATTTTTATAGCTAAATTTCTTCTTTAACAAATAAATTTTTTATTGTCACTGGAAATGAAATGATTGTTCCTGAACTACAGTTGGAAAAGACTATAATCATTACAATTTGGAGCCATTAGGCTTAATGATGTAGCCATAATGGTAATAGAGAGAGTAATAAGGGATCAGTGTTATGACAATAGCTGGTTGAGTCCAGCTAAATAAAAAAAAGAAAGCGGGAGATTAGTTATTCACATAAAACTTCTGAATGGAACCATGCATTAAAATAACCTTATCTTCCTTGTATCAACTACATCTGTCTATTGCTTCCCACTCCATTAAGCAGGCAGTATTCTGTTACTATGTAGATAAAGTAGGAGTCGATAACCCAATGTGCTATAGGTATATTGTAAAGATTAATTTTTATGGTATTTAGTCATAGTGAAGTTGGCATTGGTTTGTTAGCTGTTTCTGTTAGCTGGTGATTGATCATATGTTGGATATATTATCTCAGTGTTTAATGGTAAGTCTATAGGCACACTGGGCTTAATATTAATAACTCTTCCTGTATAATTAAGCTTTGGTAATTTATGATGATTGTTATATGTAGACATCATTTGTTGTAATTATCATTGAAAAAACTAACTAGTATCTTGATAAATTTCTGTATTTAAACAATGTTTCGATATTGGTGCATTCCTTCAAAATGAATGCTTTGCTTTATTTTCTCTTAGCTGACACTCGTAATAGATAATTTGCCAGTGCTTGAGGGACAGTTTTTATGTGCTTTCACGGCATATGGAAAAACACTGGTTACCAATGCCACTCGTTCAGCTAATGGGGTCAGCTGTGCCACACCTCACACAGACTCTCTGCCAACTATTCCACTAGGAGAACGTAAGAAATATGATGTTTCTAAATATTTACATAATAATGATGCACTCTGTTCATCTTTAGTTTTCTACATCTTGCCATGTTTACGGATATTTTTATTTTCAAAACCATATTTAATGACTTGGGTATTAGAATGATTTTGTTAGTTTCGTGATGTTAAATATGTATGTGTGTATAGATAGATACACACATGAGTCTTGCCGCATTTATCTACTTATTTACATGTGAAGATCTGTAACATTGAAACTTGTGTAAAGTGTAATATGTCAGAAAAATAGTCAGTTTACCATCTGCTTTAAAACACAATTTTCATATGTCATAGTTTTGAGATTGAAAAACTTGTTAAAATAGTTTTTCTCATTATGATAGTATTTGTAAACTTTTATTTTTCATAGATCATTTTACTGCTAAGCTTTCAGTGAGGATGAAAACTGGGCCAGACTTTGTAGCAACAAACTTCACTTTTTATGACTGCAGCACATACAGTTCGTAAGTTAATATTTGGTTTTGCAGAATGAAATGGTTACTGCATTGACTGAATTTATTAAACTTTAACAGCTAGTGTTGTCATGATATTAGTAAACAAAATGTATGGGGGGGGTTCTTTTTTTTCTTTTCATTTTACATATTTTATTTACTTATCATTGGATTACTATGCTTTTCTTATGCAAGTTTTTGTAGGTTTTGCTACTAGTTAATACAGCTGAGTGTGTATTTTTCATCCAGTTATTACTGGAACAACACTAAGTTTATCCCTAAGTGATGCAGTGATGATAAATTCTTTATCAATATAATTTGATGAGCATTTCTTTTTAATTTTTAGTGCATGAAACCTTGTAAAATAATCATTTGACATTTATACATATACTTTAAAGCTCCAGATTTGTTAAGTGTAACAAAAACTTGAGTTACCATAGTTATATTGTGTCAGCACAGTGCTAACCATCTTAATTTGTATTGAAACAGATGTACAAAGTGTGTATCCAGTCGCTTCCCTTGTGACTGGTGTGTGGGAGGTCATCGATGTACTCATGACACAGGCGAGAACTGCCGTAATGACATTCTAGTCACTGGAATAGCAGTAAGTAAACCTTGTTATATTGTTTACAGTGTGAAATCAAAAGGGGCAAGGAAAAAGTAAGATTATTCTGATATATAACTTTGTCAGAAAGAAAGTGTTTTCTAATAAAAAAAATTAATAAATAAATGTTTAGTAGAATGGTTTGAATAAATTATTGCAATTGTTTGAGTTCTTATATTTCTATCCATACCATTTAGTGGTTTGTAATGATTACAGAAATAGTATTTTTTTTTCCAAAAGCAACGTGAATGACATTACAAAATATTAGATGCTTTTCACTGATTTTGTTTTAGGACAAAAGTATGTTGATTTTCTTTATAATATTGTTTTGTTTGTCAATCCTCCAGAGAAGTTGTGTGTACAATCATAGTTAATTGTGAAGTCGTAACAGAGGGGGGAAAAAAGGCATTGTGAGAAACAGCAATATAAAATGTTTATGAAAAACTTTACTTTCAAAATTAAATTAATTAGCCCTAATTTATTTTTGTTTATCAGAGTATTGGCCCAAGTATCAGATCAGGACCTGGATTTTGTCCTATGATTAATATTACAGCAGGGAGTTCTACTGAAATTCTTGTACCAGCAGGCATTGAAAAAGCCATTCACGCACGAGTAGAAAATACGCAGGTGAGATCTATAAATAAAAATTACTTTATAGAATAGAATATAAAGCTGATTAAACTTTTGAATAGTTGTTTTACATTAATTTACGTATTACAGTATTTCAAAATTAATATTAACTTAGCTTTTATTAATTAATACTTAAAGGTAAATAGTTTTTATGTACAAGTCAAAGAAGAAATTACATGAATATCTGTCATTGTGATTGCAAAGTAAAGAAGGCATCAGTAAGTAGTAAACAGTACATTTGTTCATTTTTTATAAGTATAAGTATTAAGATCAACATACCATCTTTTTATAGATTTTTTATGAGTAAATAAGATAGTTGTTAGTTCATAACTAGCATTTTTTGAGAGCTTTATGTAATGTTTCAGTGTAAACTTCTTCACGATCTCTATTTAATCACACTTAAAGTAGCAAAACCTGATCCTTCTCTTATAATTTTTGTTTTAACTTTTCTGTTAACTAAAACTTACTTTGTTCTTCTAAAATATTGTGTTTCATGTTTTACAGCCATTTCTCCCATCTACAAGATTTGTTTGTCAGTTTAACATTGAGGGGAGGGTCAAACAGGTGGATGCCCAACTTTTGTCAGACACTATCTATTGTAGTGAATTGAATGTAAGTATTTACCATAGAAACAGTCTAGAATGTTGAATGAACCTTGGTGCTTATTTAATAGATTATAAGGTGCCATTTACCATAAGTTATAATCATGATTAATGTATTTGTCGTACACCAGCTACTGTAACAAGTTGAATGTGGTTGTTGCACACCATGTGTTTTAGTGAGTTGATGTTTGTTAGGTACTATATAGTGTAGTGAGTTAATTGTAATTGTTTGTCTAAGCATGTTCCCTTGTTACTTTAAATGGTATTAGACAAACAATTATAATGAACTCGCTACAGTAGACACTATCTGAAAAACATGCTCACTTTGCAACAATATATATATATATATATAGAGTTAATTGTAATTATTTGACTAGTATCATCTATTGTAGCAAGGGGACATGTTTTTCAGACACTTTCCATTGTAGTGAGTAGGTTGTCAGAAACTGTTATAACAGATTGAGTTTCATTTTAAATACATCCATATAAAATGCCCAGGAGTTTTATGAAACTCAAGCTCTAAAATATTTGTTATTCTACAACAGAAAAAACTCAATTTGTTTGTATATGCCTAAGCTTTTATTTAAAACTCACTAAAGAGTGCTTGAAAGCAGTAAAAAATATTAAAGACCTATGTGCTTGAAGTAAGTAATGAAGCAGAAGTTATTTGAAGATCAGAAGGTCTGTTTAGGTACTTTACAAAAATATGCTGTTGTAATTGTGGTGGTCAGGGATGAAATTCTGCTGGTATTCACTGGTACTGAGTACTGGAACTTATTTTTTAAGGCTGTACTAGTACCGGGACTTAATTGAGCTGCTTTATCATTTTTTATGTTTACATGTAGATTTGTTTTGTTTTTTTTCAAAAGACACTTCAAGCATGAAGGACAATAACTTAAGGTTTGCAGTTTGAATTTTTTGCAGAACAATTGTTCATAAAGCTAGTATTTAAATAAAATTCTAGATCTGAACATAGTTTTATTTTGTAGGTGATATGAGAGTTAGAGCAGGCAGAATTTTTTAAAACTTCGTGATATTATTTGTTGTCCTAAAAAACAAGATAACAGGAAGAGAAAAGTTAGTATTTTATTAAAAATTGATATTGTAGTGAAATTTGTTAATTAATTATGTAAATTTCATAAACATGGGATTAGTAAAGAAGGCACAGACTCTTTGATAACTTTGATTTTTTTCTTTTAACTCAGTTTAATTGCTTATGTTTTATATTTTTCAACTTGTATTTGCAAAACTTTGTGTTATGCAAGATTTATCTATGCATTTATGAGAAACTAAGACTCCAATTGTTTTCTTCAATAGTTTACTTACAGTACTCATGCTCCAAATGTGTCGGCTTCATTTGCTGTCATCTGGGAAGGCAACAAGCCATTGGACAATCCAGAAAATATACATGGTTAGTATATTTTATTTTATTTCTTTTTTTGTCATAACTACCATTAAATTTCAATAAAAGTTGTGTATTAAAATCTGATAATAGAAATGTCTAAGTAAAGATTATATACCTTATGAACTTGCTTCTTGTTAATTTTAGTATTAGTATATCGATGTCGAGGAATGTCTAGCAACTGTGGAATGTGTCTTGAGCTTCCCGAAAAATTTCGATGTGGTTGGTGTCAGAAGACCCAATCTTGTCAGGTGAAAGAGCAGTGTGAAAACAACACCTTGTGGTTGGATCGAAACCAGTCATGCCCTAACCCAGTGATCCACTCTGTAAGTTGTCTGTTTAGTTGCTACTAAGAGATACAGTGATCCAATCATAATTAAATGATTTAGCATCTGTCAGAAGATATAACTTAAAACTTTGTGGAATTTTTTAAGCCACACTTATAATCCCAGCTAATTGGTTAACATTGTATGATTGTTACCTCTCGTCTCTGTAGTCATGGGAAAGAGCATCTCTATTTGAAGTTAGGTGGGTAGTTTTATTTTACATGATACAGTGTCTGCTTCAAAACTTGGATTGTAATTAATTATTAATGAAAGGTCTTTGACATAGTATACTAACTTTCAACATGTCTACAAAATGAAAGTTGTTAAAATTCACAAACTTGTCTGGTGAACTGGCTATGATCCTTCTTGTGTCATCACCTGATAAAGATACACAGAGATGGATGGAAGCATTGCTTAATCACCAGTTCATTAAGCTAGGTTTTTTTTAATTTAATCAACATGACATCATCTATGTATTTCGAATGTTTGAGAAGTTGTTTTATTGTTATGTAATGTATTGCTTATGATTGAACTGTTGTTCTAAAAGCTTCAGATTATTTTATGCTCAGATCACTCCAACATCTGGACCCATAGAGGGTGGTACCAACATCACAATCAATGGGATCAACTTGGGGAGAGTATTTGAAGATATAGTCAATGGTGTAACAATCAAAGTATCTGACAATAAACATGGTCGAATTGACATTCCCTGCAAGCCTTTTCGTGAGCTGTATGTGAAAACTACAAGGTCAGTTGCATGGTTTATATTGAAGCTAAAATTGTGCATGTTTTAAAATTGAAAAAAATTAAGTGAGATGTGGTCACTGAAAATGTTTTAACATGTGTATATTAAGTTTCATGATGTTAGGAAAACACACGTTTTACAAATCATATATACACACGTTTATATATAGGTAACAAATTAATAGTTTACTAAAAAAATGTATATAATTACTAACTTGCAGTACAAACTATGTATAATAAATTAGTTGCATACACAACAAATTACATGTATAAAAAAATTAAATCTTCACTAAAAGTTGTGTACAACAAATATACAGCATGAACTGTGCGTGTAACAAATTAATAACTTACAAATTATATACATAATAACAAATATAACAAGTTACTAAATTATACCACAAAAGAAATAACTTGTACCACATATTACATGTATAACAAATATTGTTTTAATGTCATTTAAACATAGATTTATTAATGTAAAAACAAACGTATAGGCTGAATTACCACACTAAAATGTAAGGTTTTATTAACGTACAAGATTTCCAGTTTTTTAAAGAGCTCTTCATCAGGTTGTATTACAACACTTACTTTTTATTTTTATAATGAGCTGAAAAGCTTGTGATTAATAAAACCTTATACTTTAACATGGTTTAACTCTGTCTGTGAGTTTCTTTTTTATGTATAACAAGTTAATAATTTGCATCACGAATGAATGACGTATGCCATGAGCTATAGGTTTAACAATTTTCTCTTTGCATTTATCCCTTAAAGAAACATGGTTAAGTGAAAAATTTGTAGTGAACTAATTAGAAATAGACATTTTTTATATGTGTAAAAACTTTCAATTTTTTAGTACTCTTAGTGCATTTTAAATAAGTGTTGTTCTCATTTATAACTTCGTATGATAAACACAAACTTAATATATCTAACTTGGATCATGTTGAATTAATTGCTCCTAAGGACCACGAATGATTTGAAGAATCCTTCACATTCATCACTGTTCATGATTCTTGAAATTTCTCAGTTTCATTGAATTACAGACTATAACCTCCACAATGCTAAACTAATCTTGAATATTCTCCAACCCAGGAACTTTCAGCCAGACTATAGGGTAGAAAGGAAGAAAACAAATTGGTAAAAATACAAATATAGAAATGATTTTTAGGTGATATATCTGCTCAGTAAGAAAACTGTCAGATATATTTATTAAAAATGGACTCAAAGAATGTGATATTTGATTATTTCTTTTAATTTGAGCCAGTTATGCCTCTTTAATGTTGAGATCATTAATTCGAAATGGTGTATTTAAGTGTTTTACACTCACAAAAAAGAAACCTATCATTCTAGTCTGGCTCACAGACACCCCAATGAAAGAACAGACCATTCCAAAGTTTTACTTGTTGTTAAACAAATGTTTAAACAACTCTATTCAGATCATTAGTTATGTTATCCTTTTCATTACCAAATCACCTCATTTCATATTTCATTGCTGATAATACTATCAGTCATACAAAAATTTGAGTTACTTAAGTGTTTTCTACTGCAATTACACTAAAACAACCATGACAGTTTCCCCCATAATCGACTTTTAATTCCATCTCTTTATCAATAAAAATAATCCCAGAAGATGCCCTACAAGCTTGTATTTGTTAAAGCCTTTCTTCTTTATATAGAAGTCCCTTTCATTGTATTAAGTACAAGAAGTTTTTTTTTATTTATTCGAGGCTGGTTAAACTTAGGTTGTTTTAGGCACAAATTTTCAATATGCATGTGCATCTGTGACCAGACCCATCCCTCTCTCTGGCAATTGGTCTTGATCCTTACGATTTTTTTTCAGTTCTGACGCTGCTTACAAATGTTGGGGGCATTGGTGATTCTTGGGTGGTGCTTCTCTTCTCACCAGATAGCCATCCCTCATTCAGCAGTGAAAGACTAGAGAGAGGGCAGCTAGTCAACACTACCCACTGCCAACTTTTGAGCTACTCTTTTACCAACAAATAATGGGATTGACTGTCACATTATAACACCCCCACGGCAGAAAGGGCAGGCATGCTCAGCAACAAGGATTCAAATCTGTGACTTGCAAAATGTGATTTGAGTGTCCTTACCACCGGGCCATGCCAGGTCTGGACATACATATAATTGAATCTCTGACTTGGGTGAAATTTCTCCAATTTTTAATGCCAAAATTAGTCCTCTGATTTTTAATACCACCTGCTGTTCCCTGCTGGGTTTATTTTAAAAGAAAAAATAAATCTTGATTTTAATAAATATGAAGTTAAGTGTCTGTAAAGAAATCATACCAATATTGGTCATTTATGTCTGGTATGTTGTCTTGGCAGACTATTCCTTATAGTCTCGATTCTAGTTCCTTTGTCATTAACTAGGTTTGGGTAATAGAAATTATTTGAGTGTTATTCCATAGCTTGCCTTTTTAATATGGTAGAGTTCCAAATATTGGTGTAGATAATGTTCTTCGGGCAAACTGAAAATTTCTGTTTATTGTCAAACATTCATTAATTAATGAATATTCAGTCACATTTTCATGTTCTTTATCATCTAAGCTTGGTGATTATAATGCTTTTTATCAAACTCTGTCATATTTCACTTTGGTGTGAATACCATTTAGAGTGTAATTAACTGATATTGTTAAAGTTCTGGCATAAACATAAGTCAAGAGATGCTGAAAATCAATTTCAGTAAGCAGGTTCTGCTTTCCTTGAATTCCAATGGAGCCTTATCCAGATCACATATCTCATTCTTTTAAGACATCATTTTTCCTCTTCAAACGAGTCTAGAATCTCTGTAAATGTAAATACTGTAGGTTTTCCATTTATACTTTTTGTGTACTGTTTTTGAACACGTAGGTATAACCAGTGTTTAGATGTGAGATGTTTAAATTCCCTCTTGGCTACAAAATACTTAAAGATAATGATAATATAAATGTAAGTGTAATTCTACATTTAGAGAGTTTCCATCACAACCAGGTAAAGTACAAAATAAACCTCTGCCACTCCTGTGACACAAAAAAACACCTCAACAAGAATTGGTTGGAACTTAGTCTGATACTAAATAAAAAAGAAAATATTTGAGTTAATTGAGGTTCTCAGAACCAGAGGATAGGATGGAAACAAAAGTCACCAAAACATAAAATCTAAGCTTATGTTTTTATGATATTTTTGAGAAGGGTTTTTAGTTTGTTAGGATTTTATAGGATTATTATTGTAACGCAATTTAAACTATATTTCTAAATTAATGAAGCAATATTAATTTTCCTTTCTTTAGAATTGTATGCGAGGTGGGAAGCCTTAAAGAAAGAACTTCCCACACATCAAGCACGGCATCCATAATAGGCCCTGTTGTTGTTAAAATACTGAATGATCACACTGCTACTTCTTCTGCAACTTATGAATTTGTAGTAAGTTTATACTAATTGAGATTTTAGTTTTCAAATAAGCATTAACGTCAAACTAAAGTTTTTGCATTTGTTACTACATCATAACCATCTTTAGAAGAAATGTAAGAACTTCATTATGTGCTAGTTACATATTAATTTTTTATTACATAATAAGAAAAAATGTTTAACGTGATCTCCATGCTAAATGTTACATTCATTAAAAAAAAAAAAACTCAACAGATGGAATTTGCATTTTACAGTTTGTGGTATGTTTTATTTTAAAATGCATAAAACTGTTGTTTTTAATTTTTTTTGTGTGATGCAATTTGTTTTGCATAATTAATACCAAACCTTATTTTTCTTTTTGTAGAATCCAGTGATTAATAATATCAACCCCAGTAAAGGACCCAAATCTGGGGGTACTCATCTGGAAATCTGGGGAATCCACATGAATGCAGGCAGCAGTGTAGAAGCCACTGTTGGTCCCCTCCAATGTGAAATTATTAAGTAAGTTTTTTAGAAGCATGTGGAAATTGTCCAAATGGGTAACTTTTTCCAAGAAATTTTTAACTTTAGTAATCATATAGATATTAACAGCAGATATTTTCCCTGATATCTCAAATATAGTTTGTATGGCAAAGAAAAATAACTTATTAAATAGAAATATTTTGTGAAATGAAATGTAATTGTGATGTTGAAATTATTGTAGAAAATGTTTAGTTAAATTGGTTGTATTGAAAATGATTTAAAACAATCTTAATGTAGAATGTTTTTAGGTTTTGGCTTCACCCATGAAGCCTATTTTGTAAAAAAATTAACACTAAAATTATGAAAAATGATGTATATAAAAAAAACAATCTTCTATATCAATGGTTACGTGAAAAAACAAAATTAAATCCTTAGTCCTAATGTCAAACAGTGTTATTGCCACCCTTAAAATCATCAAACGAAAAACGTTATTTTTTGTTTCCTATTGTATTGTTTTTCTGTATATAATAACTTCCATTGTTGCTACAAATAAAAGATGGTGTTTGTCTAGTTTTTCCATTTATCTAAAATGCAATAGAATGCGTAGAATTACTATTTATGGTTTATGAAATAGATTGAATATTAACTTGCAGCTGATAAGACCCAATACACACATTTATGTAAAGTTTCTGCTTTAAGAGAAACTTAAACATTATAAAATAGGTAATTTAATGAGAAATAATACATCTGTATACATATTCTAATTTACTCCTTGGAAGCCAAATAAGTTCTTTCTGCAAATATCAGTTGTTTTTTTTTAAAAACAAAACTGATAATTTATATTTTATGTAAAAATCCTAAAAACAAAAAAGTCTTTAGTATTATCAGAAATAGATTCCTAGAAATGTGTTGCTTAGAAATATAATGTGTATTATAATATTTAATTTCTACTTGCAAAAAATACTTAATTTGGATGATGGTTATTTTGTTTCCCGTAGCCGAACAAAAAACTCTATCCACTGTATTACCCCAGCATCAGATAAAATTGGGCAGAAGAAAGTAAGAGTAGAATTTGACAAAGGTTTGCGCAGTTTTGATGGATACAAGTTTTTATATGTGGATGACCCTACAGTGACTAGTGTGGAAGCAGGATCTACAGGTCAGAAAGGTCCACGAGGTATCCCCAGTGGAGGGATTACCATTATGGTGAAAGGAAGTTTCCTAAATATTGTCCGAAAACCCCTGATATATGTGGAAGTCAACGATGAGCTATATACGGGCCACTGTGATGCAATTTCAGCAGAAACTATGAGTTGTAAAAGTCCAGCAGTTCCCGTTGAGCAATCAGATTTCATTAATGGTGATCCACAAGAGTTTCACTATGGGTTTTTAATGGACAATGTCGAATCTCTTAAAAATCTGAGTTATCGTCCAGGTTTTACCAGATTTCAAATTTTTCCTGATCCAGAGTATGAAAAATTTTCTGAGAAGGATAACATCAAGTACTACAAAAGTGATTACTTAACTATTAATGTAAGTATTGAATTAGCAGTTGTACATACTTGACCAGCTTTTCTTCTGCATTATGCAAAATTGTTTCAAAAACAGAAGTTAGCATTGATTTTTACACACCAATCAATTTGCTTTATCTTTCATAACCACAGTAGGGGCAAATGTAGATATTATGGTGTTTGGCATAACACAGGCTTTAAAGCCTGGGTATAGGTGGATTAGATAGAATAATAATAACCCAATTCAACTCAGTTTTAAGAATCTACTTGTTACATTTGTTTTTGTGAGAAATATAAACATTTTCCTGTTTGTTTTTTATGTTAATTTGTGTTAATGAATACCTGAATTGGTGTGGATAAATACAATGAATAACCAAAACTGTGCTAAAATGATTATTTTAGGCTTAGACCTTTACACAGAAAATAAAGTTTCAAAAGTCAAATTCCTCCTTTTAGAGAGAATTAAAGTGAAGAAATATCAACTGCTTGACATAAAGAAGGCAATTTTTGAGTAAGTTATTGTTTTTCCTACATGATATGTTTGTAGCAGATAGCCTGAAAATTTAACAAATATTCTTCTGTTTCAGGGCAAAAACTTAGACAGAGCTTCTCAGGACACTGATGTGACAGTACGGATTGGTTCAAGTTTTTGTAATGTTACATCTCTTTCTCGGTCCCAACTAACTTGTCGTCCTCCAACGTCTCAACCTCCAGATCGTAATGCAGAGGGAAATCCTAATCCTGATAGCATTCCACAAGTTATTGTAAGTTTTAAAAAGTTCTGAAATAATGAATCTTTAATTACCTTTCCTATTCATGTCATTTTAAATGCTGTGAAAACTGTTATATTTCTGTATTAGGGTTCTAACTAGCAGTAACTTGAGTGAAATGAATATAATCTGTTATGAACAGAACTAGTGGTAAGCCTTTTTTTTTATTTAGTTGCATTTTTAAATAATGATGTAAGTATTTTGAATGTATTCAGGCTGGAGTATTTTTGTGGTTTGTTACTCCTCTCTGACAGTGTAATAAGTCTCTAAAATCTTGTGGGTGAAGCTTGCTACACAATCTCCCTCTAAAAAATTAATTTGTTTTATTTCACTTTGAAACCAAGAACATTTGGTACTTCATATGAATAAGTTGTTATAATTTTCTCCATTGCTGAGCTCTTTCAGTTCAGGCTTGGTCCAAGCCCATTAAAATGGCTGAGAAAGCCACTAGGGGAACATTCTGAGCTTCTGATTGGCTATTCATGTCATATATAGAAGTAAGTGTATATAAGGGAGCATTTCCAAAAATGGAAAGAGGTGGGCAGGATACCACTGTGTTAATTTATTACATGAGCAATATCTTAGTAAATAGAAAAGATAAGATGTTCTTATTTTATATTCTAGCTTGTCAATATTGGTAATTTGAGTTTTTAATTTGTATGAAATTATAGACTTGGTATTTTGACTTCACAAACATCTAATTTGAACCAGTGCTGCATTCAACATACCACGTGACAGACAAAAATCGATGTTTATCTGTGTTTTTAATATTTACTTTTAAATTAAGAAATTGAGTAATGTGTAGTACTAAAATCTGAATTATAATCTACAGTTTGGTACCAAACT